GCAGTTAACTGAGAAATAAATTGGGACTTCGGAAAGTGGCCGCACAATGGAGGGTGGCCGCTTAATAGAGGTCGGACTGTAGTTGCTATAGATCTTGCCAGGGCTACTTTTGTCCAAACTTCCACCATTCAAATGTTTTAGGCATTATCCAAATGTCAAGTAACATAATCAATGACACTTAATATGAAAAGCATCCAAAATTACTAACAAACCTCTGTCAGCCTTATGCGCTTTCCCAGCAACTCAGTACCATCTAGACGTTTCAGTGCCCTTTGCATGTCATTAAGGGTGGCAAATTCAACAACCCTGAAATGAATCAAACAAGTCAATATATACGACTCTTACCATTTTAGCAAATTAGGGCAACAAAATGCACGAAATACGTGTATGCAATGGTATTACCCTGAAGATAAAAACTCGTATAATACCACACAAAAGTCATCAATATTGGAATGGTGCCTTTTAACTGTGCTACAACAAGCGATGCTTACCCCTCTCCTATTCTGTCTCTATGTCACTGGGTGAAAGTCACTTCCCCTGCTTGACGCATGTAATCTTTCAGATCCTGAAAAACAGCAAAGATATTACCAGAAAGTACAGAAAAAAGTACTTTCCTTTTCCTGTCCAAAGGAGATGGCAAGTTTGTTTGATTGACTCTATAAAAAGACATTTTAGCTATTTAAGGGACAAGCATGGTAAAATGGGAATTAGACTTTCAATTTAAGCTGCAAATGCCCAAGAAAATAAACTTGATAATTTAACAACATTATAAGTGCTGAGTATACAAACTGAAATGCAAGATACATCAGTCAGTAAGTTAAATGGAGTATATTTATATAAAAAAGCTACTTATGAGAAACACTGCATTTTGACTGCAGCATTCATTTACACCTGTATGCTAAAGTCAATATTTCAAACCTCTGAGCTGTACAAAAAATCCTTGAAGAACAGAGATACAAACCTTACCTTTGCAAAACTAATTATTAAGACCAAGAACTTCAAATTAAACCGAGATGATAACCAAGGCCTTCATGCCAACCAAATCCCATGTCAGCTTGTTTAAGAACCAAAAGGGTAGCCATGAGTAAACAGGGCCACTGAGCAACCAAGCAACCACACCACGAATTGAATGATCTACACAATCTTAAGACGGCAAGCCAAGTGTCATATTTTATGCCAGGGCCACTAAATTTCCCCTTTTTACGCACAGACCAGGTCATAGATCAGGAATTGATTTCTGCCTAAACCAAGCTCCCATAAAGTACCTTACCACTAAGTACTGTGGCTAAAGATGGAAGAAATGGAAGGAAGGAAGTTACTTCTATGGTACTTAAGCCTACACTCAATTCAGAACTCTTAATATCTAAGACTGGACTGTCACTCTGACTGAAATGTGAAAGTTACCCTTTACTTTCATTTTTAAACAACACTCTTGCATGCTCATTGGCAAAGACTGATTATTAATCGTACTATAGATCACAGTGATGATACAAGGTCAAGCCATGTTTGTAAGGGCTACTACATGTTGTAATTTGGCATTACTCTTGCACTCTATTAAATGTTTCTAAATTCAGGAATCAAGTGTGAACTTCTACTTAGTGATCAATTAGAAATTGACTAAGTTTACAAACTTTGTTCTTTCAAACACTAGCAAAAGGTAAAGCTCACCCACTCATAAAATGAATGAGATTTGAAATTCATCCTAATGGCATTCTTTCTCATAATCGACTCTTTTCATCATTAATGTTTTCCCATTGGGAACATTTTAAGGATTTGGTAGGAGGGCTTCAATGGCAGAAACTGAAAAAAAGATTTGTTGACAGATATGCACATTTGGTCCCTACTAGAAGAGAAATAAACGCTGTTTTGAGACAACACTAGATGCATAACTGCATACCTAGTTTACTCAGGCACTGAAAATAGTAAAATTTAGACCTCAAGCATACATGTACTACATGCTAAAATTTAAAGTACAAGTTAAATTTGCACAGTGACACAAGTGGAAAGCTAAAACAAAATAGTGAGAACTTTCATCCTTTCACATTCTCTTTACAAATTCTTGAAGCCTTTGTGTGAAACACTTGCTCTCACCCATGTGTTTCTGGGCTTAAAATGCAATTTGTGAGTGAAATCAAACAACCTTAGCCTGGCCCTCCTTAGCAATAAAAACTGCTACAAACTGGAATCAAATTTTTACCATTTTCAATACATCTTTGCTTTAAGTGTTGCTGACATGACAATTCGCGGAAAAACATACTTAGTGGCAGACATGACCAGCAATGTTTGACACCAATGCTTGCCCCTTTGCCCTGAGCAAGCAAAAAGTCTCTGTTAACAGGTAAAACAACTTCACGACGTTCCCAATAGGGCAATAACAAATCTTTGTTTCAGACTAATGTTTTACAGAATAATCTGATTTGTAAGGAAGAAAGTGACTTGTAATAATAGTGACCGCTAACACAACTAAGATATAAACAACCATACATCTCTTCGCTATCTTATTTATTTACCAGTTAAATATACATAAACACGTCCATAGCCATAGAAGATATCAACACTTTCATAGCAGCAACATTTCTCTGCAGGAAAGGAATGTCTGTTACAATGGAACCCAGATTCTATACATCCAAATGCCCTTTTGATATTTTTGCAAAGCATTTACCAAGTTACTACTTATCAAGTGACTGGTGAATATCAACTTATTAATTAAACAGTTTGTTATAGCTTTTACTATGTCCTCATTCAAGGACAAAACTTCATGTCACCCATATGTCAAGATTGTCTTGAGGGTCACAAGATGAAATTTAACAAGCCTCCTTTGGGCAATGGGTCCTTAGGGAGTGGGAAACCAAAATAAACTGTGGGCAACCAAAAAACAAAACTGGTTGCCCTAAGGGCAAATTGGCCATAAAGTTAGTGACCAGTGTTAATCCTTCACAATTTTTCAGCCCAACTCCATCTATGTTTACCAGAGTCTGGTAACAGACTTTTGCTTTCTCTGAAGAGGTAATTTTGTTTTTATCAACTGAGTTGATAAAATAAATTGGCCACCATAAAGAGTTTTGAAGCTAACATTTTGAGAGTTAGCCTTTGTCAGAGCAAATGGGTTAGCAAGCAAATTGAAAAAAACAAACAAAAAAACAGGAAGGTACTGACTACTGTGTAAAAAGTTTAGTCGTTTTTATTTCCATTTGCAAGGAACATGAAGATCACTGTTGTTTCCTTAATGTATCGATTTTGACTATTTCCAGTTTCACCTTGTGAAAGTCCAACAGTAGCTACTCAGTTTGTGCAACATTGATAATAAAATGATGTTGAAAACAAAATTCAAAGCAGTGCATTTTGGGACATCTGTTTGATAAAGTTTAAACTATTTTGAAAAATCAGCATCTTCAGCTATTTGATAGACAGAATTTGCAGATGAATAACTGACTTGAAAGAAATGCAGTTAGTTTCATTAATTACTTAACAAAGTGCTTGCTGTTTAAGCAAGTCAGTTTTTTGCCTTTAAGGAAATACTTTAAGCAATGTTTTATAGAGTTTAAAAAGTAAACAAATGAATAATTTTATCATTTATAACCAGAGAATGTTACAAAATTAAATAATAGAACATGTAATTAAAAAAAGGTAAATTTTTGAAGAAATATTGAATATTCAAAAAATGACAGAAAACAAAAATATGTTACTGGTGTACAAGCATGTTCTTTTAAGACATAACTGCTGCTTTGATCAATACCATTTATTTGGAACGGGGGAGAGAGCATTTATTTATTTTTTTGAGCAATAGCAGAAGGTGTGAAACAAAGTTTTGATGTTTTTTTTTCCAAATACAGTGGAACCCCTCAAAACTGGACGCCCTTGGGACCGGAGGAAATGTCCGGTTTAGAGGGGCGTGTGGTGTACCGAGGTTTTACCCATAAGGCAATTTTATGCATAATGTACTGTCTGACTGTAAGTACCAGTACATGGTACACGAGCACTAATAACCCACATCAGTAAAGGAACTAACAACATGGATCACAAGCAAGCTTTTCAACGTCATTTTATTTAATCTACAAAAAAAATTCAGCATTACACACAGGGTAATATGATCACCACTTTAAATTCATTAGTAGACTTCTTTCTTCTTTAAAATATCACATACAGTTGATTTATCGATCCCACATTTACCGCTTAGAGCCTTCAGTGTTGGTTTAGGCGCTGATTCCGAGCATTTGATCCACTCAATTCTCTTCTCAAACAATAACTCGGTTCTTTGGCATTTCGCTGGTCTCTTAGACATAGTGACGTTTGCCACTTTGTTTGTTTTCACAAGTGATTTCACCCACAACACGACAGACCCCTATTGTTGTCTTCATTCAACCCAACAACAGTGGCACAATTGTCGACTTTAGATTTTTTGCTTCAGAACCGATAGAACAATGAGTAATTAGCTGATGCGCATTTCTCACTTCTGGTTGGGATTTCAAAGCTACATGATTACGATTTTCATTTTAATCATGTTTCAAAATGTGTGATTTGATTTTGGCGGCAAGCTTAAAACTTTCATGTCCAGTTTAACGAGGTCAATTTCTTTGTCAGTCAGGGCTCGAAATTAACGGTAACTCATTAACCAATGGTTAGTAATTTTCAATGTTTGGTTACTAAAAATGTGTCCAACTAACCCGACATGGTTAGTAAAATTTTCCGACATATTAAAAAATTGGAAGACCTCAGGACAGAGAGCACATAGACCGGACTCTCAGAGGAATTCTTAGAATACTCAAGTTGTTTAATCAACTTAAACTCTTATTAGAGAATGTGCAGTGTAGATGTACTGTTGTTGACTATTCATGGTAAACGAGAGGGAAATAAAATAGGTTCATAATTGTCAACGTTTTGAAGATCACCATGCAATTTCAGCTACTCTTTAATTTGTCCTAGTCGTTATTACCAAAATGTTTAATATTTGAGATATTGTAACTTGCAAGCCTGGATACGAAACTTTACAATTTGGTTAGTAAAAAAGATGTCTATTCACCCGAAGGGGTAGTGATCAAAAAATTAAATTCGAGCCGTGTCAATATGTGATTACAGACTGAAAAGAACATCCGGTTTCCGGAAGTGAGGGGTTCCGGTTTAACGAGGTTAAAAATAGAGAAAAATGTAAGACAGATTTTGAAGGCGAAAGAAAGGTCCGGTATAGAGAGGATTCTGGTTTAATGAGGGTCCGGTTTGGAGAGGTTCCACTGTATAATTTTATAGTGAATATTTGCATAATAATGGTAAGAGATGTACTTGAGCAGTGTTTTCACTGAAACAGAATAGGGGAGCATTTAGGAAGAGTGTGCTTGCACATTGGGGGTGCTTATTAGAAAGGGGGCACTTATCAGAATGCGGGTGCTAAATATAATTATTACCATGAGTAATTGACAGTCTTTTTAAATCATCTGGGTGAGAATAATCCTGAAATGACCATTGTTGGTGAAAATTACCATCTGTCAGTGTTTACTAAGAGGAGGTCATTATCAAAGAAAAGTGAGGGGTTGTTTGAGGTAAGACTGTTTAATGTCTGTTCCATTTAACTGATTGGTCATTATGGCCTGTTTGCTGGAAGACCTACAAAGCTCTTGTCAGTCGTGATTGGTCAGTTTTGTCAGTTGCTACTGGTAATTGAAATGTACATGTATCATGTTATCATATTTTGCACCTTCTGAAGTATGTCTGACACTTCTGCATCTCCCTGAGGTGTGTGTTAAGGTTGAGTGTATTTGCATATTTGGAAATATTTTCCTTTGCTTTAATTAGTTTTCTTGGAACAAGATGGCTTCCCACCCCCTTGATGAAGAAGTAGTATCTCTGAATACAAATAATGCAAATCAACCTTGTCTAGAATTTCTCACCTGCCAACTTGCACGGGATGACAAATTTTCCACAGTCAATTTGAATTCAGTGTTATAAGGTGCACCATATCTAAACAAATGTCGAAAACTTAAACTTAAAAAAGGTAGTCAAGAACTAAAGAAAATAGAAAGTGGATATCACTGGACAGAGCTGGTCTTGCTTACTGGGATTAAATATGGAATAAAGAAGTTTTTCAAGAACAATGAAAAAAAAGGTTAGACTATGTTTTCTGTCTCTAGCAGGAGACAAAGAAAAAATGTTCATGAAGTTCAATGTTCCCCCAAGAAATTTGAACCCAGACCCCTGCATCACCAAGAAAAATCCAAAAAAAAAAAAAAGAAAAAGAAAAATCTAAAAGCAAAAATATCTATCGTCTGAGTTGAATGAAGCCTGAACAGTTTTGGAAGACTTGGACCACTTAGCATCTAATAGTGGCTGCTTTCATTAAGTGACCACATACGAAAGAGACAGGTACTGTCAGATCAAAATATTCCTAGAAAAAAAAAAGATGTTTCCATATCTGTGTGTACATGTAATGGGGTAAAGCAAGGAGTTCAATCTTGTTGAAGGTGGAGATTTACCTTGGTGTCTATAAAATTGGGTTTGCCAGTCTTTTCAAAGCTTAAAATAATAATTATTCACCTCACTTCCCAATTAATTAATTGTTCACTAGAAATGTCAAAGTTAAGGCAAACATTAAACACACACTGAATGAAAACTCCTGAATCTCCCATTAAATTAAAACTGATTGCATGTGATGAAAAGACCATCTACGATTGGAAATGCATTACTGACTTGTCTCGAAACCTGAATCCACCACCTCTTCTCATTCCACTTCCTCCACCACTGCCACCTCCACCCCCACCTCCACCACCTCCACTCCTTGATGTTGGACGGGCATGTTCCACTGTTATTCTTTAAAAGAAAAAAAGGTTTACCCGATATATTTCCCTCAAAAAGCTTTTATTTTTGCAAAACACCAACATCTATTTCACTCTTTCCTTCTAAACAAAATCCACCCACTACAATACCTAAACTTAAGGGTACCAGACATTCACCAGTGTACTTTGAGGAAAAAGTTGTCAGTCCACTATTTGAAGCATAACCACCATCACAGTTGCTACAGTCATAAGTTTATAAAATTCCCTCATTTTCCCTAGGAACATAAATTTCCCAAACAATTTAAATTAAAAGTTTCACAAATGAGTCATGTTGGTGGTCTCCAACCTCCTTTTACAGCCATTCCCATCCATAAATTCATGCTTTTAGCAAGTATCTTACGGGTTATTAAATGCACCTGCACTAGTAAATCTTCTACACTACTTATATTGTACCTGGTGGGCAATTTTCAATATCCCTATTGCTTGCATTCCAATTTTTTTGTTCAGTTTCCTTGACAAAATTTGAGTGCAAAATGACCAAGAGCTGTGTCTGTTAGATGTGTATTTGAATATACCTTTCTCCCATGAATTCCTTGTGGTTTAGTTCATAAACCGCATCATCAGCATCTTTATAGTCATCAAATTCCTAAATTTTCATTGGCAACATCCAGAATTAAATAATAAATATCAGGGCTTCAAGTTTAGTTTTGTTTCAAATTCCTGATTTTCTAACCACAAGTTGAAAAATGGCGATAAAAAATACAAAGTAACCCCAAGGAAAACCAAACAATGATGATAATGTATTTATAATACTTTATGGAAATGTTAACCTCACCTAACTTTACACCATGGACACTGCATATGGAAAAGTTAAAGTTTGATATAAAAAAAAGTACCGAATACAGGTAACTGTCCATGCAAATTCAGTTGCCAAAGCAGTTTTCTGTACTTTCTCTAGCGACTAGTCTAGGAGTAGTCCCCACTTGGAGCAATAAGAACATGCAAGGATTGCACTTGAAAAAGATTGCAAGATGGATTAGCAACAAACGGATGAAAGTGTAACAAGTTACTTCACACCATAGATAAGATTTATATTCTTTGGACAAAAAGCAATCTTTCACTTGTAAAAGATTGCAGGACAGGATCACACTAGCAACTGGATGGGTGAAATTGTTACAAATTACTTGATGTCATAGATGAGATTTGATTTTTTTTTTGGTAAAAACCTATCTTTAATTTAATTTTCCCCTTCACATTGTGCTTATTGGGACCAGTCGTCTGGATAAGAGTTGATCCAATACAAACTGAAATAGATTAAGTCAATTAAATATATACAGGAAGTCATTTGATACAACTTGAGTCATTTCAAATAGCAAAGGAGAAATTTGAATGTTTTCAATCTTCTACCAGCCTGATAAAGAGAGTCCAAGATACCATGATTGTCATGAAAGAGAGTGCATCTGTGAAGGAGTCTAGACCGAGCACCAGAAATATCTTTTTTTGGGCCGTTAAATTCGTGAATTTGCATCCGCCATTACATGACCATGTTCCAGAAGTTGATCGCAGGACTCAGAGGAAGTGACATCAAAGGCTCAATGCAAAAATCTCACATGGCAAAATGTTAAGCAAACATAAAAGAGTGCTTTACTCTATTCTTACAAAAACTAAACAAAAATGACGAGGCATCAATGCGTAATTCAAAGCTGAGGTAATCGTGCAGACCATGCTGCAGGTATTTCTCTGCATTGGAGCCTTGCAAATCGGTCAGAGCAGGAGAAACGGATGCCATTTGGGCAAACTCGCTGAGTAAACTTCAATCCTGCAGGAATATTTGTGATCTGCTTCAAACACTTCTCGGAGGACTGTTTCGAGAGATCTGTGTACTTTGAAGGATCTAGGTGAAGAATTCTTTTGGGTTCAGTGCCTACCGTTAAAAAAAAGGATCACAAAAAACCGTCCTGAGCGCGATCTCGATGAAAGTGAAGTCTACAAACCTACACGGGTTTTGTCGCCTTTACATATAAGCTGATCATTATCTGCCTTTGACAACTCTCTGGCATAAAACCTTATACAAAGGAAAGTACTCGGTGAACATTGTAAAGAAGAATGATAAAATAGCCAAAATGAGGAATATTCAAGATTTCTGACCTCAAACACTTTTACGAGCTCACGAAAGAGAAGAAAAATATAATTGTGTACTCTGACTCTAAAAAAAGCTGGCTTTAATATCAGCAAAAGTAGAACAACCAGCTTAATGCACAGAGTGTATAAACACTAAAATGTAGGCTTGCAGCCATAAAACTGAGAAAATGAAAATTTCTTACAAAATCCTCTCAAACTATCAACCCTGTGACAGCGAAGTCAGCATGCCATCAAAGGGTCTCAAATTCATCACAACACCCATGACAAACGAATGTAAAATCAGGCCAACTTTTGCGATATTTATTCACAAGACAAATGCGCCTCTGTTGCACCTTTCATGGACAAAACAAAGAACCACATCTGTTTCTGTCAAATTGAATGCCACCAGTTCAGTCTTCCATCGCCCTTCAGAGCTACTTGGAAAATAATTGTCATAACACAACTTGCAGACTGTATCTAAGCCAAAAAATACTTTGTAACGCAACGAGGTCGTGGCTCTAAAAGAGCTGAAACAAGCTCCAGTTTTAAACCTCACTGAAGCAACACAACAACAGTCATCATGAATAAGACAGAAAAAACAAGAGGCCAAAGTGCAACTCAACAACAGAGTTTTCTTCAAACCTCTCAAAGCACCAGTAGTAAAAAACATGCAGGAAAGGGTTAATGATATCATTGACAAAATGTATTGGGGCAGACAATTGGATGGCTTGGAAATGGCTGTCACAAACTCCCAATATCTGCCTTGATACACAATCAGCCATTGCCGAAAACAATTTTTATGTATCACGCAATAATTTCTTACAAAAAAAAGAAAAATCCCTTACGACAAGCAAAAATACAATTTGAAGGCGATAAAGTGATGCAATCTAAAAAGCCACATGCCATTCTGTGTTTAGCAAAAATTCATCATTTGCCGGTGCAAAACTATCCACAGAAGCTTCAGGCGATTTCTGGGACAATTCATCATCAGACAAAGTCAACATTTCACGACTGACAATAAAACAATTCTCAAAAAAGTAACATGTGTGATTCTCTATGCAGCAAACAAAGAAAGTTGTGACAAAGCAAAGCATAAGTTTGTTGAGCCTTTGACGTCATGATGATGTTTTCTGCAGTACAATTGCGGGCTCAGCTGGAACATGTTTTCAGCAATAGCGGACAATTTTTGGACAACTTTGAAGCGGTAAAAATTGGTCATCAAGGGTTTGTTTTGAGTTTTTAATGGCAAAAAGGGTTTTAAGTTGACCCAATTCAACATTCTGTAAACAAATTCGCCCAAAATAAAATGGTCAATTTTTGTCTCAGGGGCACCTGAATAGCAAAGGAGAAATTTGAATGTTTTCAATTTTCTACCAGCCTGATAAAGGGAGTTAAGATACCATGATTGTCATGGAAGAGATTGCATCTGTGAAGGAGTGAACACAACAGCATGTATGACTCAAGAAATGTATTCATGTAAGTTTGATGTCAGTGCTCAATTATTTTTATCAAGTTCAAACTAGAGCATGGGCTGCACAAGCTAGGTGACTACTCTAACACGTAAATGTTACATTTGAGTTTTGAATTGGCCACTTAACTTGCAAAAGACTCACTTTTCTGCCTCTGTTTTTTGATTTTGGTTTATCAATTAAACATCCAATTACTCCTTCACTAGTTTGTATTGAAACAAGTGAAGTTGTTTTGAAGTGACTATCTACATGTGCGTGGATCGAATCAACTTCTGTCGAAACAATCCTAAACCGTGCTTATCCAAATGTAAAATTTAATCGCCCTGTGGTACATGGACTAATCTAGACCCTTATATATGTATTAATTTTTTTTCAAATCAGAGATAACCGCTCTTCATAGTTCGTCTTTGCTCTCTTTTTGTTGCACATTCCATTAAGAGTTAACACGTATCTTGAATACACCTTCTTTAGCAAGGTTTCCTCTTCATCAGTTGGGACCCTCTCTTGATGAGAGCGAACTTCTGAAATGTCGTTCTCCACATACGTTCTGGCGCACTGATTGAAACTACAGCTGTCCTTCCTTTGAAGCTTCCACGTTTGTTGTTAATTACTCGGTTCGCCTAAGAAATTAGCCATTGTTCGTAGGCTTATTCCTTGTTACAAAACAGAAACGTAACCTACCAGTGTTTTTTTGAGGCACTTAGCGGAGCACTGAAAGAACTGAATACTTTAATGCACTGGAAGAGTTTATGCATAGATTCAACGTGAGCTCAAGACATACAAAATTTATACCGCATAAAAGGAGCTTCATCATTATTAACTTCTAAACGCTTACCACAAAGCCAAATCCATTCTTTAAATTTATCTCTCGTATTCGTCCAAATCCACGGAAAAACTTCTCGACGTCTCTCTCTTTGCAGTCTCGAGGTAGTCGACCGAGAAAGACTCTCGGAGCTCTGTCCCTGCTCATAGTTAGCTTCCACCTCTATTTGTCGATTCTGCAAAGAAACGCGACGAAGAAAGGAAACCTGATAGAATGATCGGCAGTATATCCCAGGAAGCCTTGCGATACCTCATTGCGCGTGTCTTGTCAGCTAACAAACACCACATTGGTCGCGGGCTCACTAGTAGAAAATCTTCATCTGTCTGATTGACGACGATATTCAGTGGAAAAAATGGAAGAAAACTAAGGTAAATTTTTTTTTAGCTACACATGCGATATTTTTGTAAATGAGTGAACTTCCACCCGACGAGGTATGTATAGTTCCTTATCAAGACCCATGTTTGGTGATCTTAGTCAAAGATCCAATGTGAGTTTTATGTTTAACACAAATAGATCTAACTCTGACGCTCATTAGCGCAATGAAAATATTTTGAACTGTCTTGAGTGTCAAAACGCGATTCCTGTACATCAAAACTTCACTCCCAGATTTGCATTTGTTTTAGTAATGGTGAAAAGCGACATTTTTAGGGAAGAATGTTTGATATGCTCTCTCAATGACTTCGAAATCATCTCTTCTTAACGGTGATGTAATTTCAGCCAGTTCTGATGCTGACTTAATGATAGGTCATAATTATTATCTTCGTGTGCTTCTCAGCATAAAGACCATAACAATCACTTTGTTGTTCCTATCCCATATCATGGAATATGCCACTTCATAATAAACATAGCCTGCAAAAGTGCAGAGCGTTCCAGAGGAAGATGGTTTGCATCATGAACTGAGATTAATTTTAGGTCAAAAATTTTCCAAAACGGGTCTACATTAAAAACACAACGCAGCAACTATATTTTGTACTGATCAATAGATCCAACCAGGAGTTTTTGTCTCAACAATGAAAGAACAGTCTTTTCATACACTTAACATTACAAGTTATGATGTGCAAGCAGGATAGAACTCTTTAAACAAATATCATGCACTTACAATGGAAATGTTAAGCAATAGTCAGATGAAAAGTGATGTACAAATGGGAAACACTGGAATTTGCCTGGGCCAGGTAAAGGAAAAATAGAATGGCAGCATCTAAACTTGAAAACATTTGCACATGAAAATTTGATACAGACAGGATATTATGTTGTATTGCTTTTGTAGACTTCCTGTAGTGCAGGTGGTTACCATCATTTTATATCTTTCTGTTACTTTTTGGAAACTTCCAAGAAAACTCAAGAAGTGAGATGGACAAACTTCCGAGGGTTCATTCAGTTGACTTATACTGTAGTCTCCTTTGTAGTCATTGATTGGTCTGCGAGGATCGTGCATCATACGTAGAAGTACACTTCATACCCACGAAATGTCACTTGCTTGGAGGAAGGGCTAATGCTCAAAACATCAGCTTTGAAACTCATAGTCAAGTGTTTCTCATTTCCTGAGTGTTCTAGCTGCTTCCTCAGTGCTTTATAACAGAACACAGCACAGTCAAGGCTTCCCATTTGTTTTTTTTTATAAAGAATCATTAAATTCTACATGCATAACTTCCAATTTTCAAATCAAACTATATCTCTAGAGCATACAACAGTGTGGTCAGCATGTTCTATCCTCTCAAAGAGCAGGCTAAAATAAGCCAATCAGAATCCTTGTTAGAATGGTTCAAGTTATCTGATTGGTTGAACAAGACTGAAGTTGTCAAAAAAGTCAAACCATCAAAGTTCGCAATCTGCATTAGTTTGGCGGGTAGAAGTTAACACTTTTCCTTGAGTTTTTTTAGTCTTATTACAGAATCTGAAATTGAAATGTTCAGAGAAATTGTGCCTCATAAAAACATGCAAGTCTTTTTCATGTGAGAATTAGAAAACAAACAGCTCAAGGTGTGTGTTTTACAAATGAATGACAGCCAAATTCATATGAACAAGAAGATTGCTTGGAATGACAGCACTGTAAACCTTGGCTGCTGTGACTGATGTGGCCTTCTAATCAACACTTTGGAAAGGATATCAGACTTCTGAGGCTGAGATCGATCTCAACATGATTGCCTTCGCTCTGATATCATCATGATTAGTATGAATTTTAGCGTTTATGCGAGTTTGGATAAATTTTTAAGTGTCATCATACCTGTTTTGTTCTGTTTGTTTTTAAACACAAAACTATACATACTATACGAGCATTAGCTGTGTTTTATTTTTATTACCATATGCAAGTTTACAATCTAACTGAGTCTGAAAACCTTCAAAACTCATACTGTCCATTTTACTTTCTCTTTGAGGATTTTCATCTCTGCACATGTTATAACAATGCAAATTATGGCAGTTGGCATGTTTACAAGCCTTTGTATGGTTCTTCTGTCGCTACTTACCTGCTCGCTTATTCAGAAATTTTGCTTTCAATTAATGAAAAAAAGCTAGACAAAGTACAAATAGACAGATGGCGTGACAGCTTTACCTCAGCTCCATGCTCTATTTTAAAAACAATAGAGTGTTTCTGTCAAGGAACTATCAAAGCAATAGTCCCAAGACATAAACACTCTATTGTCTTTATTGTTTACCACTAAATTTACTTCTGTGCGCCAGTTGAAAAACAGTTAAAACCTACTAAGTGCAGATCAATCAAATATTTATTCATGTGTACAGCCTGTCACAAATGTCAATAATTTGCAACTGTACATTGGCTAAATAATACATTGTACCTGTCAGAATTGAAAAGTCACTGTTTTGCCGATCTACCTAACTTTGCAGCCGTCAAACCATTCAAAATTTTTCTGTCCTTTTTTACTGTTTTTCTTTATGCAATGTGTTTGACCGAGCCTTCTCCCTGAACAGTTTTTCCCTACCTCTAATGCTGAGGAGCACTTTACACTTTTAAGTTTTCCTTTTAAACACGAAGGCGCACTATATAAGGAAGTCTTCCCTGGGAAGACCTAGGCTCATTTGTCACTCACCGTTGACGTGAGCGGGTCAAATTCAAATGGTGGTATATGAACAAGAGGAGCTAATGAGATGTCTATTGTTTACTTCCACCAGCATGGTGGCATGAGGTAACGTGCGAACCACCTACTTCGATCTCAAATTTACCGCCCCAAATAAAGACATTTTCCATTGGAGAAAGGAAATACAAATCTCACAAATTCTTGTATTGTGATGAAGACATAAAACAATTTTAAGGAATGCGCCCGCTGTTCACTGCTTTGGAGTAGCTGTAGCTCAAGCTGACTTGACTCTAAGAGTTCCACATCACACGACGGTTGATTGACAATTGGTCCAGTGGGACCTAAGGCTCCTTTTATAGGGCGCCTTCATGTTTAAATCCAATTTAACAAGGGCTACTGTGAGTTTATGGTTGAAGCATTAGTCCTAACACCATTTAGTAGTTACTTGTGGTTGGGAAGAGTAGTGTTCTAGAATTTTTCTAAATGTTGCAGAATGTGCCTTGTTGTGCATAATCATACTAATACTGGTATGTAAATAGATGTGATCTAGTCTGCAGAATCTTTCAACTTGTTCAAGGTACCTATTTTTAGAAGTAGAACTTATGTCAAGCTACTGTTGGCACAAGGGTTTTATGATAGCAGGTAGATGATTAAAGCAAAGTACTTTTTTCATAGGTTAGGCGTCGTCGCCTGGCTAGGTTGAACCAGGGTACCTTGACATCATCCCATTCTCCATCTGACAGTCACTCTATACCTGTAAGGACAAGCCTGAAACCCTTGGCAGAAGGTTCTGCAGTCAGCACTCAAGACAGTGGTTATGGCTCTTTGTCACAATCTTTCGAGTTTGATGAATCACAGGACACTGGTGACAAATGTGGCAAGCGCACCTCCCCAACTTGTTCTTCTTCTCCTTCAGAAAGTTTTAAATTCAAGAGGACAAGAGATGGTTACGACAAAGATGACACTTCACAGGTTAAGGTCAGGTGTTTCATGGTTTTCCTTCATGGCTTATACTTAAGATGTATTGAAAGAAGTAGTCTGACTTGTAGTCATGCTTGTGTCACTCTTAGAATTGTGAAGACTGACACCTTTATTACCATGTTTATTCCATTACACTAAATTCCTTGACCCAAAGAGACCAAAATTCCTCCCCTTGCTATTACTCTGTGGTTCGCCTACATGTACTTTCAAGGTAAATCAACTCATAGATTCTGCATGGTGATGGTTACATGCCTGCACAGTAGTACCAGGGCTGTGGTGTAGTAATGCCCGGTGGCCCCTGGAGCCTTACGTTTGCTCTTGGGCAACTCAGGAATCTTAGTTTTTTCATAAAAACCATATGCTGGGCACCGTGGATATCACTGTATCAGAGCACTGGGCTCCCTTCAATTTTTCTAAGGGTACAGCCTTGAGTATATTTTAGTAACATTACAACTGATTGAATTTAACTACTTTTTTAAAATGATTTTAAATTGTTTTAGATAAGTTTGACGTCTCTTTCTATATATATTTTTATTATAATTATATATTAATAGTACTGGGATTTGATTTAAAGACTGAATGATATCTACCTTTTTTTTTTTTTACAGATGAGTAGTGTGACAGATGAACATATTGTAAAAAGTCTTTGCAAAATTTTTAAAGTTTCCTTGAAGGTACTATTTTTTGCTTATAGCCCTAATCAATGTCCTGCACATTTATAGAAGAAATGTATGGATATAACCAAGCCTAAAAGTGAAGGTCGCATTTATTGCTCGCATTTATTTTTCCCACACATCTCAAGGGCACAACACCTTGCCCCGGCCACGGCTAGAACCCAGGTTGTCCCACTTGGAGCCCAGTGTACTGACCACTGGACTACTGGACAAAGCCATGGGGTTGGCATGCCTGTGGTACAGTTGACTGTACATGCTAAGAGTAGCACCTTGTACAGATGCCTGTACGGTCATAAGTCCAAATTTTTCAGCTTGGGTTACTACTACCATTTTGTATAATTATGGGGCTATGCTCTGTGAGCTCTGCTCTTAATGTATATGATTTCCATGGAAACATGTATATATGGATGTGTGTTTACAACATGCAAGAAACCCTTCCATAGGCACTATTGAGACTGACCATTCACCTTTTCACTTCTAACTATATATTATCGAGAAGACAGCTTGGTGATAGCTGGGGGTTATTTCCCAAGCTTTTGCTTAAAATTAGGAGAACATAGATGTAAATCTGTTTGTAATCTGTTATCACTAAAACTGTCTCTGACTGCTAATGATGGTCAATAGGATAAAGCACCTTTTGGATCGAAGAACTCCGATGTATCTCATAATTGCTTTTGTCTTTTGGAAATTATTTGACTGTATAACAGTTTGGAATAACAACAGCAAAGATAATGTTAGAAAACTTCAGTTAGTTCAGAACTATGCCTACAGGATCGTAACTGACATAAAAAAGCACGATCATATTTCAGAAGCCCTGAAGTCCCTTAAATGGCTTAATGTGAAGGAGAAACTGCTCTTTAATGACTTAGTTATGGTTTACAAAGGCATAAACAACTTGACTCCTGACTACCTTTGGGAGTGATTTCAACACTGTTCAGAAATTTATTCATAGATCATAAGATGTTATTTTATTATTGAAATGTAAGCTGTTTTTATAGTCTATATTTTTATCTGTAAATTGTTTTTATCTTAATTTTGTAACTTAATATTTTAATATAATTTGATATATGGTGAAAGAGGCCCCAATTTGGGGGAGCTTGCAAGAAAGTATGTATGTAGGTATGTAAATACTTTAAGTAAATGATCAAGCTCACGGAAAATCATAACAGTGATTTAATTCCTGAATTGTCATTCCAAATAACAGTGGTGAAACCATTCAGCTGCATCCATTTGCTAACATATGGACTCTATTTTCAGATCTCAGAGGTTTCCTGTGACTCAGTTTTCTTACCGACACTAGCTGAGGATCTTAGTCAAGTGGATCTAAGCCCAGGTAAAACAATTCCTTGCATTTACTTACAATGCATTCTACATGACATACATGTAGAGACTGTTATCTGTCTGTTTTACTGCATGGCTATTGACATGCGGTAAAATTTGTATCAAGCAGACAAAAACTAATTACTGACATTACCTTCCAGAAAATTGCTTCATCAGTACAATATCCATGATAGAAATAAATGGATGACAAAATTAATTTCTTAACCCATTCAGGGAGTGTTATTTTAATCTTTCAAGAGGGTTGTTTTGATTCATTATTACTCCTATCAAATTGACACTCTAACTCATATCAGTCCTATTTATCACAACTATATGTAAGCACAACAATTATACTTTTCTCTGTGACAGGAACTGTTTGTAATGTCATAAATCAATTGATCATGGAGCGATTAACCCAGCTTTGTGCACATCAAGGTGGAATGAGTGTTAGTCCTACTCTTACAATTGCTGAGGAAACCTCACAGATGGCTATTGATGATAATTCAATAGACTGCAGGTCAACTGAATTTATCAGTTTATTAGGGGAGGGCAAAGCTGATCCATCACCACCAAACTGTGTAAAAGGGTCGACTGCTGTGTATCAGTCCAAGCTGCTAAAATATTTGGTAAATAGCTATAATCGCTCATTGGATGAAGAAAATAATTTTCCCAAGGTAAGACTTGCTGTTCAAACTATACTACATCTAGTCTTGAAAATAAATTTTTCAATGTATCAGATTTTTGCTTAAAATTGAAACTGTGTATTTGCAAAGTGTATAGACTGCCACTAACATAGCTGTAACTAAATCTGATGGGAAACTTCTTTGTTATACCATACTCTGATGTCACTTTGTATTGTCCAGTGGTCACTTTATAATGCCCAGTTGTCACTTTGTATTATGCCCAGTTGTCACTAAGCAACTGGTAATCCTTACAATCAGCTCCAATGTTGCGTTTGTCCATGTTGTTTCTCTCAAGTTTTTTTGAGAAATTTGCAAAAGTAAAGGATTGTTGCACTGTAAGATTCTGAAAGGCCTTCTCTACTGTGGATAATTATGTTTCTTTTTTTGTGAGTGCATGGGGGCAGGGGGATGGGAATGTGCTTATCAGATGTGGAGCACCTTGATAAGGGGTGCTATTTTGAAGAGGGTTTTCACTACATGAAAATGGTGTGCCTGTTTCATGTTTTCAGCCCTAAGAATGAGGGTACTAATTACAGACTGAACAGAAGAAGTTATGCTTGATTTAAGCTGGCTTCAAATACCAGCTTGAATAGCTTGTTTAATGATTAGTAAATTTTTATTACAGAGATCCCAGGAAGAAAGATGGATAACTTCATTAACTCAGGCTCGTCGCCAGTGTGTGTCATTTTCAGTACTTATTCTTCAGGGATGTTTTTCTGCAGACAGGTGTGTTTTGCTCTCCATAAAAATTTGTCATAATCAAGTGTTCTCACTCTGTCTGATGTATCTGATTTTATTTATGTTGTCAAGATCCTGGATTTTGCAATTCTTGTTAATGATAGGTCAGTCCTTCAGAAGTCACCCTTGGTACAATTATTTACCAATGAAGAATGTGATGTTCCTTTTCCTTTCCTTGTTGATCTTGTCACAACAGTAGCAAGTGACTCACATTTATGTATGCAGGTGAAGTATGCATTACTAGTATTGATTGTGTTTTTCATTCAAAAGTAGTGAATAACTAGTGTTGAGACTAGAAATTGTTTAATATTAATACCAGCAGAATTTTTCATTAATATTGTGAGACATGATATATGTAGTCAAGTTTAACAACACATTTTGGGCTAAGGGGATTGCAACATTTCAGCCAATGGTTGGCAAAATTTCAGGTATGAAATGGTCAGGTATGACTGGTCAAAATACAGATGGTTTTCCAGGATTTGGAAAGTTTTTCACCTATCACCATGCTTCTTAATCTATTTTAGTTCCAAATATCAATTTTTCCTCATGAGAAGTCTCACCAGAAAATCTCTCAACTGAAGAATGCAGACAAAAACCTCTATGCAAGACTTCTTGTAGGGATATTGGTAGGGAACTATGGGGGAAAAAGGTTGATTGTATAAGGTATTGTGTGGGATTGGGCAATACTTCTGATAAATGTTTTCATGGGAATTCTCGTTTTATGGATTTGATTGTCTTGCACATTAATATGTGATTTTGTAAGAAAATTTCACTTTTCGCTCACATGAAACCAATTGAATTGCCTTTTCATAGATTTTTAAGCCAGTGCTGTTGAGCTTAAATCAAGAAATGCAAAATTGTCATCTTGCAGCTGAAGGATTTAAAGCTCCCCTTTTGGTAAGTTGGTGACTTGCATCAGCTGGTTCATAAATTCAATGGAAGACTGTGTATTTTTTTGTTAACTGATGTTTTTAAAAGAAAAAAAAATGAAAATGGCAATGAAGATTTGATTTGTATCATCCTTTGCCCTTGAGCCGTGATTTATAAGGATCTCTGAGGGGTCAGAGATAAAAAAAAGCTGAGAATCAGCCTGGATAAAATTATTTTCCCTATGATGAAAACTGAATGTCAATTATTTCTCTTTGTCTCAGGCACTGTCAAAACTATGTGATATCCGCCTGGGAACAACTTCTGTGAGACCTATTTGTAACTTGGTAGGTAAAAAACATGACATTTTGTCAACAACTGATGGAATGGTAAAGAAAATTTAAAAAGAAAGTTGTGAATGGTCTCTCACAAGTTGAAAAGTAGTTCTATAGTTGTTCACCTTCACTGCCCTGCTATGTTTTTAAAATTTTTTTCCTTCCTGCTTTTTATGTATTATGATAATTTATGTTAAAATTGAGCCTTGAAATAAGAGTAATTATGATATATACACCAAATAAGGGGCATTTCAAGGTCAAAATCCCTTTGCTAATGGCTTGACTGATTGAAAGATTCTCAGCGTGATACCAATCAGGGTAGTGGAGGCTATAAATTGTGAATTGCTGTTCATCTAATACTGTTCTTTACACCTTGTAGATGGTTGCATTGTCCAACATGTGGATTCCATCACCATTATCAAAAGCTGAAGGAAAGGAAATAGAGAGACTATCTCTCCTTGGACCATTTCTCAGTTTGTCAGTATTTTCTGAAGAATGTGTAAGTTATTTGACATCTGTTATTATATCAGACAATATACACTGTATTTGCTAATTTCCTTCCCTCTAAACTTTCCTCAAGAATGTGTATTAAGTTATTTGTTTGTTTGTTGAAATATCAGACAATATTATAGGTACTGGTTCTCTTCCCTATAAATTTAGTTTGCATTGCTTTGAGTCAAGTGATTGAGTAAGCAACAGTGATTACTTTAAGCCTCTAACTCCCAGAAGTTATTAGCATGTAACTTCTACTGATAATATCCATAACTTATCCTGCAAACAAAGAATACTCAAACTTACTAGCTAGATGTTGTTATCTTGATCTAACACCAAATCATCAAATCTAATTGACAAGAAAATCTGTAGCAGCTGAAGGGGAGAATTGACAATCAGATCTTTGTAGTTAATGTGTTAAATGGAGACTCTGTGACTGTGAAACCCCTCATTCAGTCAGATATCAGCTTTTACTTTTTGTTCTTGTTCATCTTCAGCCACAGATTGTTGATCGTTACTTTTCCGAGTCTTCAGAAAATGTCAAGCTGGTGAATGTGACTTTGAGAAGTGCCCTTCGGATTGTCAGGGTAAACAATCAAATATAACCATCATAGTATATCCAAAGAAATCACTTTTTTCTCTGATATGAAGAGTGGCCTGACATGTTTCTAATTCAGAAATGACAGAAAACAAACAAAATATGTGTTACCTAGTCAAAGTATTGTCTCAATACTCTTTAAGGCTAGCTGATAAACCTCTCTTTCTTGAGTTCTACACTGTCTCATTTTTGCAAATCCAACCATTCTGTTACGTCATCATTCCATGAAGGAATCCCATGAGATTGCACTAACCATTCCCAAAAGTCAATGTGCGCCTTGCCCTTGTCAATGGCAGACGTGTACCTTTGAGTTCTGCTCAAAAATATCTGTGAAATCCGCTCTCATCCGACTCATCATTACTGTTTTCAAGTCAAACTTGGCAAGATGTCAGAAGACACAAGTACTGCAGCGGATTTAAGCACATTTTGGAGGAAATCTCCAAAGGAGAGCCCTCTCAAGCTTCAAATACGGTAAACACTCGCCCACGTGGCACTACAGGGAAGGATACAGGGACCAAGGAAGGTCTTCGCTCTGATTCTAAGGGGAAAAAGAGCACCAAATTTCTCCTGCTCCTGCAGTGACAAAGCCACTGGCTTCATCATCACAATCACATCAGCCACTGGGTACTACACCGTCCTCCAACAACCAAGTTCCTATCTCTGGTCTGAATGAACTGAAGATGCTCCAACAGGAGTCCATTTCTTCTATGAATCAGATGCTTACAAACCTGACAAAATTGCTAACACAGGCTATCAGCAAAAATTCAAACACCACTGGTGTAAAGAGGAAAGCTCAAGAGTGACCTATCAGACTCAGAATCTGAAGATGGTCTGGACAATGGTGAAAGTGTTGACCTAGACAACTCTGTCCAAAATTTGCTTGACCTGGGGGATAAGTCCCAAAAGAATCCAGCTGAGGGCCAGGAAAAAAGCAAGCACAGGGACAAAGTCCTGGAGGACATGTCAAAATTCCTCGATGAAAATGACACTGTCAGTGAAAATGCTGAGGACAGCCTTGCAGATTTGGTGGATAAAATGCTAAATAAATAAATGAATAAAAGACCCAGCTTAAAAAATTTAATAGACCACAAAACTGTAAAAATCTGATCAGCACTAAAGTGAACACACAAGTTTGGTCAAAATTGAGAACTGCTACCAAAACAAGGGACCTAACAATGCAGAAACTAGAAAATGTTTTGCTAAAGAGCATGGTTCCTATGATCAGAACTACTGAGACTTTGCTTAAAAGCAGAGAAAAAGCTGAACCCATCAGCACTGATGGAGCTAAAGGTCTCCTCCAGTTGCTCCTTGATGCAATGACTATTGTAGGTCATGCCACTAAAGACTGAAGTAAATGCTATCAGAAGGGATCTGATTAAACCTGACCTCGACAAACAATGCAGCCAGCTTTGTAGTAGTCAGATACCTGTTACGAGTATGTTGTTTGGAGATGACTTGAGTAGATCTATAAAGGATATCAGGGAGACCAATAAAGTAGGTCAAAAGGTCTCATCCCAACACCAACCTGAAGGGAAAAACACCTATCATAGTCATAGGAAGGCTAGTCATGCACACTACTCAAAGAGGCCTTTTTTATACAAAGGCCAGAGGGACAAAAACCCTTACAAGAAAAAACGGACCAGCATCAAGCAGTAGGAAAAACTCAAGAACTACCTTTTCAGGTAAGTTCAAATGACCCAATTGTGCATAACCAAGATGGTAGATTAATTCATTTCCTCCCAAAGTGGAGAGAGATTACCTTGGACAAAACTAGTATTGATTATATACAAGGGGTAAAAATACAATTTGTAGATGAACCTTTCCAGTTCAAAACCACAGGAGTACATATTAGATTTAATGATTCTGAGAGAACCTTTATAAGTGGCAAAATTACAGATCTTGTATCCAAAGGGGTTGTAGAAGAATGCAGTCACTTTAATGGGGAATAAATTTCAAATATTTTCCTAAGACGAAAAAAGGATGGCAGCCATAGACTGATCTTATATTTAAAAAACCTCAATCAATCAGTTGAGTACCAACACTTTAAAATGGAAAACCTAGAGAATACAAAACTGTTGATGAGAAAAAATTGCTACATGGCTACCGTGGACCTCAAAGAGGCCTACTATTCTGTGCCCATGTGCAAATCTCACAGAAAATACCTTCGATTTGTCTGGGAAAATAGACTTTATCAATTTGCTTGTCTGCCCAATGGACTTGCAAGTGCACCACGGGTATTCACAAAGATCCTTAAACCTGTGTACTCCCACCTAAGGACCCAAGGTCTAAAAAATGTTGGGTTCATAGATGACACTTACTTACAGGGTGACACATATGGGGATTGTCAGAACTGCATGTCACAGACAAAACAATTATTTACAAGTTTAGGCTTCACTATACATGAAGAGAAAATCTTCACCTGAACCAAGACAAATTATACCTTTTCTTGGGTTTTTGTTAGATTCAACCAGGATGCGTGTTTCGCTTACAGTATCAAAAGCAGATAAAATAGTGAAGTGCTGTAGTTCTAAACTTCTGATAAGCCCTTTGGCAAGCATTAGAGAGGTAGCCCAATTGGTGGGCTTGATGGTTGCATACTCCCATGGGGTAATGTATGCCCCACTTTTCTATTATGATCTTGATAGGGAAAAAACCCAAGCTCTTAAGATAAACAAAGGTGATTTTGATGCCAGCATGATCATATCTGGCTCAGCAAGAGCTGACCTGAATTGGTGGATTGCAAATGTACACTCGTCAATCAATCCTCTAGATCATCATTCCCCTAATGTCATTGTATATTCAGATGCATCTCTGACTGGTTGGGGAGGGGTATGCAATGGCAATACTGCAAGAGGCATGTGGTCTGACAATGAGAAAGACCACCACATTAATTATCTAGAGATATTTGCCTGTTTTCTCTCTTTAAAGTCACTTTGCTCAACCCAGTCACATGTCCATATTCAATGCATGATTGATAACACAACAGCCATAGCTTACATAAACAAAATGGGAGGAAAAATGCAAAAATGTAATGAAATCACTAAACAGTTATGGCTCTGGTGTATGGACAGAAATATATGGCTGTCAGCGGCACATGTTCCAGGGAAAGAGAATACAGTTGCTGACAGGGAAAGCAGAATAAGTACAAACTCTGACCTTGAATGGCAACTAAATCCCCAGATTTTTATTCCATTGTATCACAGTGGGGTAAACCCGAGGTGGACTTATTTGCTTCCAGAAAAAATCATCAGATAAAGCCATATGTTTCTTGGAAACCAGACCCTGATGCCATTGCCATAGATTCTTTTTCTATGAGCTGGGAAAACCAGGTTATTTTTATGTTTCCTCCTTTTGCTTTGATCTACAGGATTCTCAAGAAAATAGATGACGACAAAACAAAAGGAATTATCATAATCCCACTCTGGACAACATAAGTCTGGTTTCCGCGCCACGTAAAGTTGTTAATCAAGCCTCCCCTTTTATTGCCTCAGACAAAGAAAACTCTCATTTTACCAACATACAAAATGGCTGCACACCCACTAATCACCAAGATGAAGATGTTAGCTTGTTACTTATCAGGGATTCCATCAGAACCAAGGGAATTCCAGAGGGGCCTGCAAACATCATTCTGTAGTCATGGAGAGAAGGTACCAGGAAACAGTACTCTGTCTATTTGTCCAGATGGATTTGATACTGCACTGAAAGGAACATTGATCCCCTTAGAGAAAATCAATTTGAAGCTCTAGAATTTCTGACTACCTTGTTTAATCAAGGTATTGGCTACAGTGCTATCAGCACAGCTTGTTTGGCATTGTCTCAAATACTTATCATGCCAGGGGACACTACATTAGGAGAACTTCCTCTTGTCAAACAGTTCTTTAAAGGTGTTTTCCAGCTGAGGCCAGCATTACCAAGGAACATTGTCACATGGGACCCTTCCATTTTACTTTATTATTTGAAAACCCTTGAACCTTTGGAAAAAATTTCTCTAAAAGATTTAACCCCTAAGCTCACTGCTTTGATTGCTATACTCTCAAGTCAAAGACAACAAACTATCCATTTCTTGGACATTCGCAACATGGAACTTACTCCTTCTATTGTTAAAATTACTGTTGGTGATAAACTCAAGAATACGAAACCAGGAAAGCATATCCATTAATTGGAATTACCAGCTTACCCTCATGACATGAGGATTTGTATTGTTACCGTTATGCAAGAATATTTACAACGTACTGAAACCCTAAGAGGGAACTGTACTCATTTGTTAGTTAGTTTTGTCAGACCTTATGGTCAAGTTAGTAAGAATACCATTGCACGTTGGATAAAGTCAGCAAAGGGAGCTGCTGGAATCGATCTCAAGAGGGTCACACCCCACAGCACCTGGTCCAGCTCAACCAGTGCCGCAACCAGGAAGGGGGTTTCTATAGACACTATTTGCAAAACTGCTGGTTGGTCCTCCAGCAGAGCCTTTGCAAAGTTCTATAACAAACCTATTCGCAATGCTGGACAACTAGCTCATAGTATTCTGTCTTAAGTAAAGTTTGTTTACTTTGCATAACGCTGTGGATCACTCACAAATAAAACTCTAAAGTTCTCATGGGATTCCTTCACGGAATGATGACGTAACAGAATTAGAAAGTTAAACAAGACTTACTTGGAAGTTGAAGTTTGACTGAGATTCTGTGAAGTCTTCATGAAGTGAAAGGAATCACATGCCCACCCATCTTCTACTGAAGCAAGTTATACAATCAAAATTCCCCCCCCATGGGGATTTCTTATTATTTGTTTGCATCCACTTTAAAAAATTGACTTTTGGGAATGGTTAGTGCAATCTCATGTGATTCCTTTCACTTCATGATGACCACAGAATCTCAGTCAAACTTCAACTTCCAAGTAAATCTCGTTTAACTTTCTAATTTTGACTTTTCTGTGCTAGAGCACTAATGCAAGAAACATCAAGTTTATAAATTCTTTATAGTGGTCAATTTACATTTATTTATTAACTCAGTTGATAAGTCAAATTATCTTTCAATATCCACCATTGATGTAGCACCACATTTCTTAGATACTTGCAGCCTTTGAACATAAGATAGTCAAATTTGTCTGCAACTGAACTTGAAAGTCATCAGAACAATTTGTATAGGAATTGCTTTATAAACTAAACCCAGTCTTCTTTCCCAATAGCAATGGTAATTTAGCTTTTTTTAATACTGGTAATTAATGTTTTTCTATTATTACTGTACAAATCTGGGAGGGGCCTCCACCAGCCTCCATGTAATAGTAATCAGGAACATGAAGGGAGGGCCTCCATGTAATGGTAATCAGGAACATGAAGGTAATAATGGTATCAAAGACACTGGTAATTATGATGTGAGTTCTGGGATGCCTCTTAATGTTCATGTGCTTGAATTAAAACAGACAGAAGTATTCAAGATCATTCATAGTATGCTTGTGTCTACTGAGAGTCGGGATGCTTGTTTGGAGTTCATCGCTACAGTCTTAAAAAGAAATCACTGCAAGGCACAGCTACAGGTAAATAACAGATTATCTTCTTGCTGCAAAGAACTAAAACTGTAGATTGGTGTTTTAATAACCGCCTCCCGGTTAGCGCAATGGAAATTTGATGGCCTGCTCCCAGTTGGCTTGTTAGCTCAATTGGTAGAGCGCTGCACTAGTATCGCAGAGGTCAGTGGTTCGAATCCCGTACAGGCCTGAATTTTTTTCAGGTCTGATTTTCACTATTGCTTAAATAGTGCTTTACTGCGAAGGATCGTGCACATATACGTTTCATAACCGCAGTTCATATATATGTATTTCATATGTTTGTTGTTTGATTTATCATCTACGGGTTTATGTCGAATTAATTTGATGGCCTGCTCCCAGTTGGCTTGTTAGCTCAATTGGTAGAGCGCTGCACTAGTATCGCAGAGGTCAGTGGTTCGAATCCCGTACAGGCCTGAATTTTTTTCAGGTCTGATTTTCACTATTGCTTAAATAGTGCTTTACTGCGAAGGATCGTGCACATATACGTTTCATAACCGCAGTTCATATATATGTATTTCATATATATTTGTTGTATGGGTAACCATGGCCCACGCAAAGACATTAAACTTTGATTACTGATTACTGATTACTGAATAAAGTATCAGGGGTTTCAAGGACTTCAGTACACAACTGTAATGATTACTTTTAACTGGTTCACCTCCTCATCAAGTAACCAAACAGTAACAAATGATGCTTATTTTAGGTTGATGATAGACAAGTCGCATCTGATGGATTTATGCTAAACCTCATGACTGTGTTGCAACAACTGTGTACAAAGGTTAAAATTGAAAAGGTAACAAGTGTTTCGACATTGACTTTAACTAAAAACCAAAGTTGCTTATTAAGTGAATAGAAATGTTTTTGATGTTTCGCCACAATATTGAGTGGATAGAAATCGATTTTTTACAATTTACAATATGATGGATACATTTGCTCTCCATACTCCATTGACCGAAAAATAAAGAAAATTGTTTAACATAGTAGTAAACGTGTCGACAATCTTGTTGATCAAATATGAACAGGAGAAATTCTAAGTCAAGTATGTTTAGGATCGTGTCCTACTTACGCTGATGTTAAATGTAACACTAAATAAAGGTCAATTAGGTTAAGTGGAAGAAATCGTTTTTGATGTTTAATCCGCATTGTAATAAATGGAAGTTTTTCCATTATTGTGTCCATATTGTGGTCATGAATCATTCTTGTGATGATGATGATAATGGGGTAATTCAAATTTGTTTTTTGTCTTTTTTTAACAGGTTGACAGTTTGTATCTCCATCATCCCAAATCAAGAGTAAACATCTCACAAGAATCCAGGTTGAAACTTACTTCACAGCAAGTTCAAGAATGGAAACAAGAACTCGGTATTTCCTAGGTGTTGGTGTGATAACCTGAGAACTAATAAATTGCATCGTTGATGTACACGGGATTCTTAGTCGCATTTCACCAGGGATTAGAATATATCAAATAAAACGTTCACTTTTTTAGTTTAGAGGGCAACTTTTCACATAGTTTCGATATAAATATCTTTAGAAATGTTTATCTTCTTGCCCATGATTAATCGAGAAATAGCTAAGAAGTTTTAGCCTCTCCTCCTACATATACGGCCCTTATCAACTGAGTGTCAGGGAAATCCATGATTGCTTTTGTTTTGCTAAACTTCACACTATGATTCGTCTACAAGAAACTCACGCCACCTTCTCGACCAATCAGATTCATGCCTAAAACCAATCCCTATTTGGATACAAGCGTCTACTCGCCTTTCATGCGGTTTGCCTGCTTTTACTTTAGTTCTAATTGGCTTACGGTGATGTCAACCTTTTGCTCCGATTGGTTGTTGTGATTAGTTTGGTTTTCGAAACTCAACTGAAAACTGCTCTTAAAGTCGAATTAATCGTTTAAATCGCTGATGCAGACTGTGTTTTGTTCTTTTTCTTAGAAGAGAGATGTTGAAAGGATTTTCGTTTATTGCAGATGGTAAAAATGCGTGGTTGGATCCAAAATTTCCCACGGAGTGTTTCTTTATGGCCGTTCAAGCCCATCATTTGGCAATTTTACCAGCTTGTAGGAGACATTCTCGAAGACAAAAAGCTCATCGGGAGTTAACACGCATGATCGAACATCTAGAGTCCCACGAAAGTGAGTGGATCGAAACGCCAATTGCCTCTAGAAACAAAGGCCTGTTAAAAAATTGGAGAGAGCAGATCAAGGTAAACGGTTAAGTTCTTTGAAATCAACTGTAGTGCTCTTTCAAATCTTCATTTTCTAGATTTATGCATTTGATAATATTTCAAGCTTTACAATTTTGTTTTTGGTCGTTTATTTGAATTTCAGAAACTAGAAAACGGTAAGGCTTGCTCAGATGTCGTATTACTTGATGATGAACTTCTGCGTGGCTGTTTAAAGTTCTATGGGTTTTTGGCTACTTGGATATTGAGACTGGTGGATCCTAACAAAAAAGGGCAAGTAAAAAAGTTGGAATATTTGGTCGATTGAGAGTCTGTTACACACCTCATGCTGATGGATTTTTAGGGGGTAAACGTAATCTGATGTTTTCAAACATTTTCTGGTACTTTTGGTCCCTTTTATTTATCACTTGTTTTTTACTTTCAATGCTTTGGACGTGGTGTTCTGTGTAACAATTTCAGTAGTTTGTCACAATTTGACTTCTTTTCAGTCTTGTGTTTGGAAATTTGTTTGCACTGCTGTGGTATTTGTATTTTTTTGCATTATTAAGAAATCCTCTTTGCCTCCTACCCACCCCACCGCCCCACCCCTTTCCCGCGATGACAGTGAGGATCACAACTTTTGCCCATGTTCAGTATTTGTATCGGCATGATTGACTCCTTCAACTGTCATATGTGACAGATCAATTAATGAACACTTGTCACCGATCGTTTTCACTACAACACATTTCGTGTGTCGCGTGGAGTCGAGACTTGCTAACGATCTTGATTGCATATAATTGCTGTGTACAGGATTAGTATCCCTTTGCCCGAAACGATCGCCATGGAGCTCGCGTCCCTTCCGGACTATTTTGTCGGCGATGTGGCTGAGTTCTTGCTCTTTGTAAACATGTAAGTATTCGAATTGAAGCCTGTATGCATGGATAGGTAAAGGAAAGGTATAAGCTTTGCAATATGGACGCCATTCAACCCAAATAATACAATCTTATGCCTCAAATTTTCCTCTCGAAACAGGGCACAAAACGAAGGTTCTCTTCTTTTACGCCTGTGAATCCACTCAATTGGCTCTTGATCTCATTGAAAGGCGTTGGAAGTATTCGCAGAAAATGCTGAGATTATTTACGTTATAAATCTTCAGGAAGGAAAAACTGTCTTATTATCAACATGACAAAAGCAAGCAGTTTATATTAGGGAAGAAAGCACGTCTCAAATCAGTTGGTGATACAAATCTAATGGCCATCCTTTGTGTTTTCCGTTTGTATGAAACTGTGTGCATAGACGTTTTACGTAAAACGGTACGCTCAGTAAGAGAATGACCATAATATTTAAAACTGATACAATGAATCGCGGAATGAGATTGTAGTGTTTAAGGATTATAATTCTACAGTATACCTAACATGTACTAAATTAGCACAAGTTATGGTTTTGTGGGTTTCATTGCACAATTATACCAATCAAGTAGTAAACCGCAGGCGCGTAGCGTGGTCAGTTTTTTCAAGTACGCACAAGTGAGAGAGAGAGACTATATTTCAAGAGGGTAGCACGTGACCGTATTTAAACTGATAATCCTGTGGCCCTCTATTAACCCACCCATCCCGCTCCAGGGGAGGACATCCATCACACAGTATTCTCGTGTGCGGGAAATTAGCGTCTCCTACCCCAGCCCTACAGGAGACGGGACCTCCATTTATTCGTCCCTATCCGAGAAGACTAGAATATCTAACCATTTCTTGATGTCATAGAAAGGTAGCGAATTCTTCTCAATTATTTTAAGACCCTGAGTGTTGGTCCGGCCGGGCCCTCGACCTCCCGCACAACAGTCCAGCGTTCTATCCATTGAGCGAACCGGGAGGCGGTACATATGATCTAGAAACCTAAGTAAACTGAGCGAAAAACACTGCGTTCTTTATTTCTTGTTTGAAGTAGTTGTGTGAATACAAGCAAAGGACAAACTTGGCTCAAACACAACATTGTTTTCAAAATTTTCTGGTCACTTCAAGTACGCACGTGCGTATATGCGTAGAGGACGCTACGCGCCTGAACCGCGGGCAGTTCCTCTAGTTTGGTGTGGATTTTACTCAGAGTCACGTTCGATAATCAGTAGAACCAACTTGGTTTAATTAAGGATAGAGAACGGACGAGAGAGCGAGAGCACAACACGCCTACTCCGACTTGTTTGGTCTCCTCAGACTTTTCTTCTTAAGCAATCTAAGTTGCAGCCAATGATTCTTTCGATTGCATGCGATCGAATGTGACGGTCCAAGGATTAAAAAAAAAAACAACAACAACAACAGAGAATGCTGTGGCAGTATTAAGTATACCTCGGTTTTCTTCTAACTTGAACAGTATTAGAATCAATAATTTTGTGAGCTTAAGATTCTTGTGGAATTGACAAACTGGTGTGTTTGTGATGGGTTTTGGAAAGCCAGTTTTCATTGAAAGCGTTGTTGTTGGATTAGAAAGCTGTGAATTCTATCTTGCTCACCCATAAGCAAGTCTTGGACCCAAGTTTGTGCATTTTCAGATTGCTTTGTTTGTTTGTTTTTGTTACCACAGCTTTACATGCTTGAATATTGTTACAGTTCCCTCTGGACTTCCGTGGGGAAACATGATGGGCATCACCGAAAGTGCAAGTGAAACATGAAAAGGGTACCCCTTCCTCTCCAGCTTGGCTCAAAACGT